CCAGTAAAGAAAATTCGATTTTACGACAAATAATTATGAGATGCCAGTTAGAATCATTGGAAGAAGAATTTGACGAGGAAGCAAATCTTGAAAGATGAATTGAAATGCAAAAGTTTCTATTTGTTTGGTGTTACTACTTTTCTCTACTGCCACCACTGCCACTGTTGCTGATGTTGGTTTGGAAATCATCTGTGTTCGATGTGAATGAACGAACCAAAGAATGAACGAACACCTCTCTGGGGGTCTTTCTTGTAAAGCTAACACTTTAATGGTGTTATGCCATGTTGTTGTTGTTTTTGTTGTTTTCTTCATTCTCTTCTGTGCTGCTAAGGGATTTTCTATTTGATTTTCTAATCGCCGAGATGGTGTTAGGCCAGATAAGAAGAGTTTTGAAGGTTTCAAAGCAGCCACCATTGCCAACAATCCTACTGAACAGGTGTCTTTTGGGAGTGTGTGTGTGTGTGTGCGCGAGTATGGCAGTGTGTCGTGAAATCCACCACGGAGAGAAACCTTTGTTCTTCATGTTCTTTTTAATGTTTTCTTTTACTTTTGACACCAGTTCGCTAATGAAATGCACATTTAAATTTAGCTTCTTTTGAGAAGTTTATCAATGTTGATTTTGTGTTTTTTTTTTCAGAGTTGTGTGCATTTTTTATGAAGATGTCTTCTAACCTAGTTTGGGAGGGAAAATGAAAGAAATTTTTTAAATAATTTACGAAGAGAAATTTTGAGATGTTTTTTTTGGAATGTGCTTCAAAATTTATTAATCAAACAAAGTTGAAATTTAATGAATGTGGGAATTATTTTATTATTTGGTTCTACAAATATATGAATCTTAAACATTGATGTAGATATGAAGGGGAAATAGTAATTTAGAAAGAAGTAAGGGTAGCTTCCATATACCATATGAAGAAATAATTATACTCTCCTTAAATTAGATAAAATCAAAGGGTTTTTTGTTGAAATACGTTTTTATACCCTCCAGCATAGTATGGAGGGTATATTAAGTTTGTCATTCCGTTTGTAACACCTCGAAATATACATTTTAGACCCCACAAAGTATATATATTCTTGATCAGCATAAAATTTTATGTCGATTTATCAATGTCCGTCCGTCTGTCCGTTTGTGGAAATCACTCTAGCTTCCGAACGAAATGAAGTAGGTTGATACAATTTTACTCAAATGTGTATTAATATTTAAAGTTCGTAACAGATGCTACAGCATAAAACAGAAAATGCGCCATGTAGATCCACGCCTTCGTATAGCCCCCATGTAACGGTACCCCCCGATATTCGGTATTTTGATTATTTTAGCGACATTATTTATCGGAACTATTTCAAATTTGGTATTTGAAGTTCGTAATGAATAGTATAGCCTATGACAGAAAATTGTCTTTGCAGGTCCACGTCTTCGTATAGGCCCATATATCGGTACCTCCAAATATTAGGAATTTTGACGATTTTAGCGACATTATAAACAGATTTTTTTCAAGTTTCGCATTTGAATATTGTGATATAAGTTGCCTTGTGACAAAACTTGCCTATGCAGGTCCACGTGGCCATATAGACTCTAATATACGGCTACATGATTTTAACAGAATTTTAAAATCCCTTTATTTTTTTGAAAACTGTTAAATTCGTACCAAATGGTGGAGGGTATTCAAAGTTCGGCCTGGCCGAACTTACAGCTTTTTTACTTGTTCCTTTTTATACCCTCCACCTTGGAAAGGAGGGTATATTAACTTTATCATTCCGTTTGTAACATCCTTAAATATTCGTCGTAGACCCCATAAAGTATATATTCATAATCAGCATAAAAATCTATGTTGATTTAACGATGTCCGTCTGTCTGTTGAAATCACGATACAGCCCACATTATTTGACGTAGAGCGCCAAAATTTAGCAGAGCAATTTGTATTGTGTCTAGGACGGTTGGTATTGAAAATGAGATATATCAGTCCACGTTTTGGTATAGTCCCCATATAACGGTACCTCCCGATATTCGGTATTTGAATGGTTTTTGGTATTTGTTGGTCTTAATGGGTTCTAGCTCTTTTGGCGAAACACTGTATGTATAGGTCCTCATATAGCCGAATTTCCCGTTATTCGGTATTTTGGTGACTTTTGACACATTTGCCCATGAATATGTCTAAAAATTGGTATATAGGCTTTAATATTTCCTTTACCTTTAGGCGGAGGGTATTAAAAGTTTGGCTGGCCGAACTTAATGTTTTTTACTTGTTTAGCTTAGCTACTTTAGTTGAGCTTGCAGGATGAGATGAAAAAACTGCAACCATTTTCAGACTGCTGTCATTTCTAAGCCACTCGTCCGGCAGCTGTTAAAATTATTCCAGTGACAGCTCATTATATTGTTTACAAGCGAATTTTTCCAGAAAAAAATTTATTCGTGTTGAAATTCAATCGTGATGGTGTGATTTATTTATATTTGGCTGGAAACCACATGTGGCTATCGTTAGAGCACTCGAGGATTTAAATGTGAATAAATCTTTTGTGTCCCATACGGGTAGCCTGGTAGCGTAGCCCGACGTCAAGGAAGTGGTCGGAAGGAAACAGCAACATCAGCAGAAATGGTTCGAAAACTATAGAAGCGACTTGATCGAAACCGAAAAATGCCTCGTGAGCTGAACATATCGCAATATTCCATTCGGCAAATATTGAAAATTCCAAAAAGTGCGAGAACTTACACCGCGACAGAAAGAAAATATACTCCAAAGAGCTAAAGAGTTGTTTCGAGCTGCTTGGCCGAAAGTGGTGAACTGCCGAATTTAGTTTTCTCCGATTCGTTGTCCAACAGTTTGTAAACAAACAAAATGATCGTGTTTACTTGACAAAGAGGTCAGCTGAAAATGTCCACCTTCTGTTGGCCACCAGAACTCAAGCGCCGCCCATAATGATGGTGTGGGCTGCCATAACAGCCGATGGTCGCTCTCTGCTCGTATTAATCGACCGTGGCATCAGAATAAATGCCGAATATTATCGCGAAAATATTCTGGAGGGTGTATTAAAGCCTTGGGCACGCAAACGTTTTGGCCGCTGACCTTGGACATTCCAACAGGACTCAACATGATCGCACTCAGCACGCGCCTCCCAAGAATGGTTACAAAATGAGGTTTCTAGCTTCATTTCCAGCCACAATGGCCACCAAAATCTCCGGATACCAATCCGTTGGACTATTGTGTCTGGAGTATTTCGAAAAGCAAGGTTGGCACTAAAAAATACCAATGCGTAGATTACCTCAAGCTAACGCTTCGCCGGGAATGGGCCAAAATACCGCAGAGCAACATTCAGGCAGCGTGTGACGGTTTCATAGGCCGTTTGAAGGCCATAATTCGTGCCAAAGGTAACCAATTCGAACAAAACTAAACTTATTCTTAAATTTGATGCTACTTCCGACATTTTTTGCTTTCATTCAATAAAATTAAAAAAAAAAAATGCAAAAATTATGGCGTTTGGCTCTGTTGCTATTTTTTTTTATCTCACCCTGTATGTTGCTCCCCATACAGGGTGAAATCGGGTGAAGAAGTATATCGAAGCTACATAAAAATCTGAACCGATCTTGATTTTTGTGGAATGCATATTCCGCATGTGAGGGGCTTTAGCACTAAATCGAAGGAAACATATATATATAAGAGCTATAGCTAAATCTGAATCGATTTTAACGAAAATTTGAAGCACTTGGTTTTAGGCCTAAATCCGTTGGAAGAGTCAAAATTCGGTCCATTTGGGCTGATACTAGCCATTATTTGCACAATAAGCATGAAATCGGATTAAGGGTATATATGGGAGCTATATCCAAATCTGAACCGATAAAATTTGGCAAAGGTATTTCCGAGCTCTATAAGACACCCGGTACCAAATATCATTGCTGTACTTGATTCTAGGATGAATTCCATTGCCAACATTCAGTCTATTTGGGATGATATTGGCCATTTAGAGCACAATAAACCTGAAAACCCCAAATCGGATAAAACATATATATGGGAGCTATAGCTATACCTGAACCGATTTTCAGCAAATTTGATGTACTTTCTTCTAGGCTGAATTCGGTCGGATGTACCAGGACTTTTGGACTGATATTGGTCATTTGGTGCACAATTAACCCGAAATTGGATGAAGTTATATATGAGAGCAATAGCTATACCTGAACCGATTTTCTCGAAATCGTATGAAACATATATATATATGGGAGCTATAGCTACATCTGAACCGATTTTCTACAAAATTAATGTACTTGCTTCTAGACTGAATTCGGTTTTATCAGGACTTTTAGACTGATATTGGTCATTTGGTGCATAATTAACCCGAAATGGGTTGAAGATATATGGAGCTATATGTAAATCTGAACCGATATTGATACAAATTAGCAGAAGTATTACTGGGCTTTATCTGATATCTGATACCAAACATCTTTCTCGTGGGGTACATATTACGAATGTGAGGGACTTCGACACATCGGATGAAACATATATATGGGAGCTATGAACCTATATGAACCGATTTTCACTAAATTTGACATACTTGCTTCTAGACTGAATTCGTTCGGATGCGCCAAATTCAGGTCATTTAAACTGATATTTGAAAATTTGTATGGGAGCTGTATATAAATCTGATCCGATTATCACCAATTTCAATAGGGCTTGTCCTTGGGCCAAACAAATGTTGTTTGGAAAATTTCTATCAATCGGATAATAAATGTGGCCTGCATTTTGTTCATAAGACGGACAGACGGACTCTAATGCATAAATCGACTCAGAAAGTGATGCTATGAAGATCCTCAAAAGTAACTATGGGTCTATCTCGCTTCCTTCTCCATTTTACAAAGAAATGAACAAAGACATAATACCCTTACCACTATGTGGTGTAGGGTATAAACATATTTAAAGAATCCCAAGCTATGACTAACTAACCACCAAAAGTCATTGAATTAAAAGCTTTTTCACAAGAAAAAATATAAAATAAAACAATGATTGTGGACTTACCCAAAGGTAACTCATAAAAAAGGTATTTCCTTTTGTGATTTCTTCCAGCCAAGATATAAAAAAGCCACTAAGACAGACTGCGTTCACTGCATTAATACCTTAATTCTATACCACGCACTTGAACACAAACACACGCACGCACAGAGATGCACAGGAACGCACAAAATGAAATCTGGATGATTAATTCGTTTCAATGAATAAATTCAATTTGCTTATCTTGTTTTCTTTTATTTTGTTTCCGAGGCTTGTTATTGATGATGGTATTTTAATGCAGGCGGTAAAACATAAACGAGATTTAAACAAAATATTTCATTGATATTATTTATTATTAATTTGCATTCGACTCGATGCATTCCGTTTTTATTTATTTATTTTTTTTTTATTGAAAATCAACAATTCTCATTTTTTTTCTAGAATACAAGGCGGCACAATGGACAAATAGAATAACCACAACGAAAAAAAAAAATAGACACGAGAAAAGGAAGCCAAAACTCTGGTATAGATACAAACAACAAGAATAGAAAAATACGCGTTTTTTTTTGCTATACTTTTTTCCGATTTTGCTTCAGGCACTTGTTGTGTGGCAGGGGCTGGGTGCGGGGAATTATTATGGGGCAAAGCAAAAAGGCAATAAGCAATGAACTTTGTTTGGTGGATCAAAGGGGAGGGAAACAACGCCGTTAGAATATTTTTTTACACTTTTTCAATTTTTTGTAAATTCTTTTCAAAACTGAATTCCTTTTCTGAACAACAAAATCATTATTTTCTTTTATAGTATTTTGAGTTAAAATTTGTAGATCTCCGTTTGGAATTTGGTTAGAGATTTAGTTGCTTAATTAAGATCGGACTGCGCCGTGCGCAGTTTAGTTTCTGGAATGACCAACGTGCTTAAACTCTCTCCGCATACTGAACTTGGCCTCTGACGCCATCTTAGCCAGAGGTGGTAGACTGGTTAAAACACACACACACATACACAGAGAAATTCCAGTTAATGAGAGTAAAACTGAGAATATAAGGAATTGGAATGATCACCACAGTTTGGGAGAGAGAGAAATATCTCTGCATAACTCTTTTCATTTATTAATAAAAAAGTTTTTGAAAGTACCAATAAATATATAAAATATAAATTAGATTTATGAAAATTTCATTTTTTAAAAAATACATCTATTTTGTTTTATTATTTTAATATTTTCCCTGAAAATAAAAAAATCACGTATGGCAATGCCGTAAATCGCCTCTCCATATTACCGCCTTAACTCTCTTGCCAATTGGAAATAAGCCGACATCGCTTACATGCCTCTCATTCCACTGAGAGCCCATAGTCGGTTTTGGCCAACATCATTCATGAATCCAAGTTCTGATATTCAGTTTGTGTTGAGCGTTTATAGTGTTTGGACGTGTCAAATCTTTTTTAGTGAACGACAACGACGACTCCACTCTAGGTGGCTGTGTGTGGTGGTAGTTTAACATTCCAATTCTCATTTGAATTTTTCTTAAAAAAAAGAGCGAGGAGAATAGTTGGTGGAACAAAAACGAAACAAAGAGTGGAGAGAGAGAGCCAACATAAAAATCCAAGTGTATTTGTTACACCTGTGTGAATACAGTGTGAAATGGAATAGACAAAACAAACATTGGCATTTTTGTTTTTGGTGTATACGTGTGATTGTGAACAGAAATTAACAAAGAAACGGTCAAAACAAAACAAAAAAGAGAACAACAACAATAAAACAAACTATCTCATCAATTCCATTGTAATAAGGCAGTGACGTTATCGGAGTGAACTAGAATTTTGATATGAAAATGATTGGCAGTGATTATGTTTTGGAGGCTCATAATATCTTTCACACCACCGAGGTCAGTTCATAAAATTTAATTTAATGAAATTTCTCCCACAAAAAAATAATAATAAATAAAACTATAGAATCAGCTTCAATTGTAGAAAACATAATGTTCGTGTCTTAAGTCTTTCATTTGCCTCTGAGCATTTTGAAATATGTGTTTGTGTTCTAGGTCTTTTAAATATGCACAGAAGTAAAATATTTTAAAGACATTTTGTAAATATTATATTTGAAAATTCTATACTATTTCAAATAATGTACAAGAGATGTGGTTTCTGTTATTAGCTTGTCATACCTCATTTCATTTGTTGCTAAATGTGAAGTTAAAATTTTGCCAGTAAACAATTTGACTTTTAATGTTTCTATGATTTCTCAAATTTCAAATAGGTTGATGATTCACTATTGCCGTATTTATTTATATAGAATCCACAAAGTTGGGAATGTAAAGTGAACCATTAGTTTAACAAATATAAAAGTACACCGTCCTTTTTTTCGGATAATTGGCATTGTCTCCAGTCTTTATACCACACGTGTAATAAGTTTGTTTTTCTTTTTGAACCTCCCCACACACATACAAAAGATCTAAAATGATGGAAAAATATTCCCATATTCGGTCGAATTCCCAAAATAATCCAAGCATAGTTTTTGGAATATATTACGTATTTTGTGTCCAAAAAAACATGACATCGGTAAACTTATATATGGGAGATATAACAATGTCTGATGGAATATCACCAAATACAGGGTGAAATGAAAAACTGCCACCAACTTCAGACTGCTGTCATATCTACGTCATTTGTCCGACAGCTGCTAAAATTATTCCAGCGACAAGCTCATAATATTGTTTACCAGCAAAAGCAGTTTGGTGAGAATTTTCCAGAAAAAAATCGTGATGGAATTCAAGCGTGATAGTGTGATTTCTTTATATTTGGCTGGAAAACCAAAAGCGGCTATCGTTAGAGAACTCCAGCATTTAGATGTGAATAAATCTTTTGTGTGTCGTAACATCACTCGTTACTGTGATACTGGCGGCGTAGCCCGACGTCAAGGAAGAAAACAGCAACATCAGCAGAAATGGTTGGAAAAGTATAGAAGCGACTTGATCGACACCCGCGTCGCAGTGGCAGAAAAATGGCTCGTGAGCTGAACATATCACAATATTCCATGCGGCAATGCCATTGAAATTCAAAAAAGTGCAAGAACTTACACCGCAACAGAAAGAAATAGACTCAAAAGACCTAAAGATTTGTTTCGCTTGGCCGAAAGTAGTGAACTGCCGAATTTGGTTTTCTCCGATGAGAAAACATTCGTTGTCCAGCAGTTTGAAAACAAACAAAATGATCGTGTTTACTTGCCAAAGAGGTCAGCTGAAAATGTGCACCTTCGGTTGGCCATCAGAACTCAAGCGCCGGTCATGGTGATGATGTGGGCCGCCATTACAGCCGATGGTCGCTCTCCGCTCATATTAATCGACCGTGGCATCAGAATAAATGCCGAGTATTAAAGCTTTGGGCACGCAAACATTTCGGCCGCAGACCTTGGACATTCCAACAGGACTCAGCACCATCGTACTTAGCACGCGCCACCCAAGAATGGTAACAAAATGAGGTTCCTCGCTTCATTTCCAGCGCACAATGGCCACCAAAATCTGCGGATACCAAACCGTTGGACTATTGTGTTTGGAGTATTTTGGAAAGCAAGGTTGGCACTAAAAAATACCAAAGTGTCGATGACCTCAGGCAAGCGCTTCGCCGGGAATGGGCCAAAATACCGCAGAGCAATATTCGGGCAGCATGTGATGGTTTCATTGGCCGCTTGGATGCCATTTCGCAAATTCGTGCCAAAGGTGACCAATTCAAACAAATCTAAACTTATTTTAAAAATGTTATGGTATTTCCGACATTTTTTGCTTTCATTCAATAAAATTAAATTAAAAGTAAAAATTATGGCGTTTGACTTTGTTACAGTTTTTTTGTCTCGCCCTGTACTTCTGTCGGTTTTGCCTTTTTAACTTAGGATTGGAAAATGTTGAAATATGCATCAGATAGACGATAATTTGGACGAAATAATTCCACTTGAGCTAAAACTGATAAAAAATATAATATAATATAATTTTTTTTTGGGAATAATCTGGTGTTTGGGACATTAAGAGAGATATGAGTATTGCAAACCGTGAACCTTTGTGGGTACTAGAAGATGTAGGCCGATATCTGTACTCATTACACCGGAACTTGTGTTAGTATAAATAGTGGTATACAAGAAATTTCAAGAGAATCTGAAAATCTCCGCATTTTATGAGAGAAATAATTTTTCAAAGAAGGATTGGAGTGGTTAGCTTTTGTTTAACAATTGTTGGATGGCCATTTCTGAATAGTTTCTTAAAAAAATACAAAAAGAAAATAACGATTACAATTATTGTCTCTTGAATATATTCTTAAAAATACTCGTTTATTAAAAATATTTTTTAATAAGTTCATGATAATTGATGATTGATTTTTCAACAAATTCAGAACTATAGATAACTGAAAAATATTCTTTATAAAGAATTCGCGATTATTAATGCTTAAGAAATACTAAAAAATTATCCTGAGTTATTCATCCTAAAATACTAATTGTTTAAAAAGATCGCTTTTTTCGAACCTTAAAAAAATATTATTTAAAAAATTCGGCGATTATTAAAAAAATATTTTTCTTTAAAAAATCTTTGTGGTCTTTATATTTTTTGGTCTTTATATATATTTTTTTTAATCCAAAATTATTGTTCCGTCTAAAAAAATATATTTTTTTAAATCTAGGACTGTTGAAAATATATTAAAACAAGTAAGCAAAGGCTACAGTCGAGCGGGCCGACCGTTGAATACCCTACAACACTATAATAAACCATACAGTTTATTAGGCGAAATACTCGACAGAATTCCACAAGATATTGTGACAAATAATAAAAGAAAACCATCAGGTTTCGTTCTCTAATTTTCGAATAATAGCAACTTTAACTAATTTGCTCATTTCCAATTTATTGGAAGATATTGAACGTAAATGGTCTTCCTAGATCTGGAACCAATATTTCCCAAAGACCTATAATCTCTCAGAAGTGGCAAAAGATTAACATTTATTATTGGTTTTTGACCGAAACGCATCTATATGAGATACAGATATTTGACTATAATCTTCAACGAAATCAGCGTTAACGAAATAGTCAGAAGTGCGTCTTTCCTGTATTTGTGAATTCTCCAAAAAGACACTGGAATGGATACTTTCGTATTTTGTCTACAAAAGTTGGCAAACTATTTCACACATTGAATATTTTTGGATGGCCATCCAAAACTGCTTGGCTTTTGCAATGTCCGGTAACCCCCATTCAAATGTGCGTGAGGATCGGGCGATAATTACAACCTGCCGACAATTTTGCAGTTTTTTTTTTCTATTTCAACCCCTAAATATACGGCGATCATCTCCAAAAAGAGTAGGCTTCTATTCTGACCCTCATCTTATACCCATGCAAAATTTCGTAAAGATCGGGTCATAAATGCGATCTGTATATGATATCCTGATATTCTAACTACTTAGTTTTGTTAGCTGTAGAAATATTACCAAATGTTTAATTCAAAATGAAAATATGCCAAAAATATGACAAAATTTAAAAAAATATGAGAAATTTTTACAAAATCAATATTTTCATCTTTAGAGAGATATTTTTATGCGATTTTTTTAGACGTTTTTTCTTTCCTGTCAAGAGGCCATTCTGAATTAATGAGAACTGTCGAAATCAGTTCAGCCGTTCTCGACATATAAGAGATCTTTCAAGCTTATCTTCTTTGATAGACATATTTTGCTATATATCCGATTTTGCTATATATCCGATTTGTTGGATGTTAACATCAATGTAAAGGTCAGAAGTAACCTTGTCATGGCTTTGTGATTTCGCCGGGATTTAAAATATTCGCGATTTAATGAAAAATTTCGCCCTAAACTCTAGCTACATGCGAAATTCCACGTCGATTGGTCTATAAATGCGACCTGTATAGCTACTGCAAAATCCGACATTTTTTCAGTATTTGGTCCATTTCAACCCCTAAACATTTGGCGATCATCTCCAAAAGAAATAGGGTTCTACTCTGACCCTAACCCCACCTTCGTGCAAAATTTCGTAAGGATCGACCATAATTGCGACCTGTAGCGTGATTACAAATTAACATGGACTGACGGACAGACGGACGGACGGACATACATAGCTAGATCGACTCCGCTCGGCGAGCTAGGAAAATCCATATATACTTTCCTATATTGGAAACCAATATTTCGAGGTGTTACATAAATTCTGGCCCAATCAAACTTATAATACCCCCAACACATATTGTTGTAGGGTATAAAAAATACACGATTACTGATTCTTGAAAAAAATATATTTTAAAATATCCAAAATTATTGATAGTTTAAAGTAAGAGTTGGGCTCACCCCTACTTCCTAATTTCCCATATTTTTTAAATTTCTGTCCCTATATCCTATATACTTTGTGGGTAGAATAACTCCTCTCAAATAATATTTAACATATGTAAACAGAACTTCCACATGTTTTAGACATATTGAGGATAGCCGATTTAAGTTGGGTATAAAAGTGTATAAAAGCCGTATCTTATGGAACCAATAAAACTGGGTTTATAAAAAGGAATAACGAAATAGTTAGTATTCATTACATTTAGATTCGGATTATACTACCCACGTAATAAAAAATTACATTACTTGCATTAAGTTATCAATTTAAAATTCTATATATGAAAATTATGACAGGTGTAACCTTTTTCCTTCAATAGTTTTGCGAGTTAAGGTTTGTGTCTTAAGTCTTTTGTTTTAATTCCCTGAAATACTTAATATTCATGTTTAGATCGCACAAGTGCATCTTATTTTATTTTATGACTTTTTACCACAATTTTTGTTTTATTACCGCCCGTTTTTTTTCTCTCTCAGGTTGATGGTGGTGGCTGCTTTAATGGGGCCGGCAGTTCTGCCTTAGTCTTAAAAGGTGTTAATTTAACCGTTCACAGTGGCGAAGTTATGGCCATCTTGGGATCCAAAGGTATTACATTTTGTTATTTCATATTTTTTCTTACAATTTTTATCTTCTTCTTTTAATCTTTAATTATTTTGGACAATTTTTTGCAGGCAGCGGCAAACGTGCTCTGCTCGATGTCATTGCACGCCGTGCCGAGGGTTCAACCAGAGGTCAAGTCTTGCTAAATGGTTCTCCATTGACCAAGGCATTGTTTCAACAACGTTGCGGCTATGTTACCCAGTCGTGTACCTTTATACCAGGTCTAACAGTGGCTCAAACCCTGCACTACACTCCCACCATTGTAAGTTGCGTTTTTGGCCAGCTCGCTAATGGTCTTACGTTTGTTTGTAATTTATTTAATTGTTGTTGTTTTTTTGTCTTTCATTTCATCCTTATCAGCTTTCAGGCTATTTGAAGAGTTCAAAAGTACGACAAGTGTTGGCCGATTTGGCATTATCTCAGGTGGCACACAAGCGTGTTGAATATTTAAATATGAGCGAAGCCAGACGTTTGTCGATTGGCGTACAATTGGTTAGAGATCCGGGTAAGTGAAAAGTGAACGTTTGACATTTTTGAATGAGAATTCTTAAAGAGAAAGCTATGGTAAATAATGAGGGAATTTTACTAAACCAAGGTGTGTAAAATTAGTTTCCAATTGAATGACAATAACCTGTTTTTTGAATTTGGGTCCAATAACCTATTTTAATTTGGATTAAGGGGTTTACAGGGTGAGATGAAAAAACTGCAACCATTTATTTCTAAGCCACTGTTAAAAACATACAAATGACAGCTCAAATATTAAAAAATGAGCTCGGGGCAAAGCCTTCGAAGTTCCAAAAAGTGCAAGAACATACACCGCAACAGAAAGAAAATAGACTCAAAAGAGCTAAAAGTTGCTTTGCTTAGCCGAAATTGGTTAACTGCCGAATTTGGTTTTTCCGATGAGAAAACATTCGTTGTCCAGTAAACAAACAAAATTATCGTGTTTACTTACCAAAGAGGTCAGCAGAAAATGTGCACCAGAACTCAAGCGCCGTTCATGGTGATGGTGTGGTCGCTCTCCGCTCGCATTAATCGACCGTGGCATCAGAAAAAATGCAGAATATTATCGCGAAAATAATCTGGAGGGTGTATTAAAGCCTTGGGCACGCAGACCTTAGACATTCCAACAGGACTCAGCACCATCGCTCTCAACACGCGCCACTCAAGAATGGTTACAAAATGAGGTTCCTCGCTTCATTTCCAGCGCACAATGGCCACCAAAATCTCCGGATACCAATCCGTTGGACTATTGTGTCTGGAGCACTTTGGAAAGCAAAGTTGACAGTAAAAAATACCAAAGTGTCGATAACCTCAAGCAAGCGCTTTGCCGGTAATGGGCCAAAATGCCGCAGAGCAACATTCAGGTAGCGTGTGACGGTTTAATTGGCCGTTTGAAGGCCATAATTCGTGCCAAAGGTGACAAATTCGAACAAATCTACACTTATTCTAAATTTTGATGGTATTTCGGACATTTTTCGCTTTCATTCAATAATTTTAAAAAAAATGTAAAAATTATGGCGTTGGCTTTGTTGCAGTTTTTTTTATCTCACCCTGTAGTTGTAAAAATTATGTAAAAACTGATAAAAAAAACAATCTTTTCCCTTTCAGTTATGTTACTTCTGGATGAACCCACCCAAGGGTTGGACCCGCTCAGCGCCTATTTGCTCATCTCAATTCTATCGAATACAGCGAAAAAGACTGGCTGTGGCATTCTCTTGTCTCTGGAGAAACCACGTTCAGATGTTTTCCCTTTTTTGGATCGTGCATTGTTCCTGTGCCTGGGAGGAGTTGTTTATTCGGGCGGTACTCGTGCTATGTTGGAATATTTCCATGGCATTGGTTTTCCATGCCCACAGCTGGAGAATCCTCTGATGTATTATTTATGTCTTTCCACCGTGGATAGGCGTAGCCGTGATCGTTTTGTTGAATCAAGTCAACAAATCGAAGCTTTGGTTGAGAGATTTTCACGTGAAACACCGCTGTCGGATGGTCCGGTAAATAATATGGGCAGTGGAAAAGTGCCGTTGGCCTATGGTAAGCCGGGCGAATTGAAGGTTTGGGTCATGCTGTATTTGTAAGTATAAAAATAATGCTTTGAGTATTTTTGAATTTTTATACCTTTAATTCATTTTTCTTTAAAGAAAATTACTGGCATCGACATTTTCGTGCGGTACCTCCGGAATGAAAACATTATTTTTACGTTTATTTATTCTACCGCTGGCCATGGGACTTATGTGGCTGTTCTACACTAATGTGGGGGTAAGTATTTTCAATAAATAGGCAGAAATGCGTATGACTTGTAACTCTAAAAATACGTTGGATAAAAGGGTCAACGAATCGAGAAAAAAGGGCACATCTACTTTTGCTACATTCAAGGTTTGATCTTCGATTTAAAAATTTAACAAAGTCTGTGTCGAAATTACATAGCATTAAAATTGTTGTAGAGGCAAATGAACTTCATTTAGTATATCAAGGATTTTTGGTTTTATTTAGATACCTCTATAAGTGGTGATGATGATTTGTCCGAAATTTAGAACTCGAATCTCCCTTTAAAACAAATTATTTTGTAATGCTGATATTAAGACAACGTCTGGAAGCAGAATAGTTGGACACATAAATCATATGTAATAGTAACAGATATATTGAGAAGTGAGAATCTTCCTGGCCCATGTACGCATGTACGCATTCCCAACACGATCTCCATCTCTCAAAACTATATACCAAGAGTGGCCTCCATAAACAATTTCAGAATTCCAGCTTCATCCTAAGACCCAATTTCAAATTCATTACCATATTTTCGTATAAAACACATTTCCACCCCTTACACCAACAGTGACCTCGTTACCAAATTTCTGAATTCCACAACTTAATCCCAAAACCGAATGGCACATTTTGTGGTATTTCCCAAACTTCATATGTTCATAGTACGAATTATCAAAATCAGCTATTCTCTCAACTACAGACACCAAGAGTTACATTCATATCAAATTTCTGGATTTCAGCTTCATCCCTTTAACCAATGCTAAATTTGGCACTTTTCGAACAATTATAGTAGGCATTTTCAAAATAATCTCCATATCTCAACCTCTGATACCAACAGTGACATATATATCAAGTGTCAGGATTTGAGATCTATTCCTTGACCCCTCACCAAATTTAGTACTTTAACTACAACTAGAGTTCACATTTCCCAAACCACCTCCACAAATTAAATACAGCCAACAGTGACATCCATATCAAATTTCGGGATTCCAGCTCTATTTCTTCACCCAATACCAAATATAGTACTATTTAGTACATTTCGTACAAGTCGGGAACACATTTCTAAAAGCTGCTACTCAATTCCAAATACCGAAAGAAACCACAGTATCAAAATTCAGGATTCCAGTCCTATCCCCTCAGCCCATACCAAATTGTGTACTACTTAGTACTCTACGAACGATTTTAGTACACATTTGCAAAAAAAAATTCCATATCTAAATCCCAGGTACCCACGGAAACATTTGCAGGGTGAGATAAAAAAATTGCAACAAAGTAAAATGACATAATTTTTAATTTTTATACCCTCCACCTTGGAAAGGAGGGTATATTAACTTTGTCATTCCGTTTGTAACATCCTTAAATATTCGTCTTAGACCCCATAAAGTATATATATTCATAATCAGCATAAAATTCTAAGTCGATTTAACGATTTCCGTCTGTCTGTCTGTCCGTCTGTCTTTCCGTCTGTCTGTCTGTCTGTTGAAATCACGATACAGCCCACATTACTTGACGTAAAGCGCCAAAATTTAGCAGAGCTATTTGCATTGTGTCTAGGATGGTTGGTATTGATATATCGGTCCACGTTCTGGTATAGTCCCCATATAACGGTTCCTTCCGATATTCGGTATTTTGACGATTTTTGCAACATTTTTTCACGGATTTGTCTGAAAATTGGTATTCGTAGGTCATAACGGGTCCCTGTGCGTGTGGCAAAACATTGCATGTATGGGTCCATGATTTGGTATAGCCCCCATATAAAGGTACCTCCCGATATTCGGTATTTTAGTTTTTTTTTTTGCCACATTTTTTCACGGATTTGTCTAAAAATTGGTATTTGTGGGTCATAATGGTTTCCAGCTGCGGTGGCGAAACGTTGAAATTATAGATCCACGTTTTGGTGTAGCCCCCATATAACGGTACCTCCCGATATTCGGCATTTTAATGGTTTTTGCCACATTTCTTCTAATGTTTCTTTTACCCTAAGTTGGAGGGTATTAAAAGTTTGGCCCGGCCGAACTTAATGTTTTTTTTACTTGTTTTTTTTTTTTTTTTAATTTTATTGCATGAAAGCAAAAATGTCGGAAATAGCATCAAATTTTAGAATAAGTTTAGATTTGTTCGAATTGGTCACCTTTGGCACGAATTATTGCCCTCAAACGGCCAATGAAACCATCACACGCTGTCCGAATGTTGCTATGCGGTATTTTGGCCTATTCCCGGCGAAGCGCTTGCTTGAGGGCATCGACACTTTGACCAACTTTACTTTCCAAAATTCTTCAGACACAATAGTCCAACTGATAGGTATCCGGAGATTTTGGTGGCCATTGTGCGCTGGAAATAAAGCGAGTAACCTCATTTTGTTATCATTCTTGGGTGGCACGTGCTGAATGCGGTGGTGCCGAGTCCTGTTGGAATGTCCAAGGTCTGCGGCGAAAATGTTTGCGTGTCCAAGGCTAAAATACACCCTGCAGAATATTTTCGCTATAATATTCGGCATTTACTCTGATGCCACGATCGATTAATACGAGCGGAGAGCGACCATCGGCTGTTTTGGCGGCCCACACCATCACAATGGCCGGCGCTTGAGTTCTGGTGGCCAACCGAAGGTGCACATTTTCAGCTGACCTCTTTGGCAAGTAAACGCGATCATTTTGTTGGTTTACAAACTTTATTTTCTCATCGGAGAAAACCAAATTCGGCAGTTTGCCACTTTCGGCCAAGCGAAGCAACTCTTTAGCTCTTTTGATCCTATTTTCTTTCTATTGCGGTATAAGTTCTTGCACTTTTTGGAATTCCAATGGCGTTACCCCGAGCTCATTTTGCGATATGTACTCCGAAGGGAATATTGAGATATGTTCAGCTCACGAGCCATTTTTCGGCCACTGCGCTGCGGGTTTTGAGTAAGTCGCTTTTTTTTCTTTTCGAACCATTTCTGCTGATGTTGATGTTTTCTTCCGTCCACTTACGAGTGGCTTAGTTTTTCATCTCACCCTGTATATCATTGGGTTCTAGACTTCAACCCTAAACTTAAACAAGTAAGCAAAGGCTACAGTCGAGCGGGGCCGACCGTTGAATACCCTACAACACTATAATAAACGATACAGTTTATATAGGCGAGATACTCGAAAGAATTCCACAAGATATTATGACAAATAATAAAAGAAAACCATCAGGTTTCGTTCTCTAATTTTCGAATAATAGCAACTTTACCTAATTTGCTAATTTCCAATTTATTTGCAGATGTTGCACGTAAATGGTCTTCCTAGATCTGGAACCAATATTTCCCAAAGACCTATAATATCTCAGAAGTGGCAAAAGATTAACATTTATTATTGGTTTTTGACTGAAACGCATCTATATGAGATACAGACATTTGACTACATTCTTCAACGAAATCAGCGTTAAAAAAATAGTCAGAAGTGCGTCTTTCCTTTATTATTTTCCTGTGTAATTCTCCAAAAAGTCACTGGAATGGACATTTTCGTATTTTGTCTACAAAAGTTGGCAAACTATTTCACACATTGAATATTTTTGGATGGCCATCCGAAACTGCTTGGCTTTTGCAATGTGTGGTCACCCCCATTCAAATGTGCGTGAGGATCGGGCGATAATTACGACCTGCTGACAATTTTGCAGTTTTTTGGCCCATTTCAACCCCTAAATATATAACGATCATCTCCAAAAAGAGTAGGCATCTATTTTGACCCTTATCTTATCCCCACGCAAAATTTCGTAGGGATCGGGCCATAAATGCGATCTGTATATGATACCCTGATATCCTAACTACTTAGTTTTGTTAGCTGTAAAAATATTAGCAAATGTTTAATTCAAAATGAAAATATGCCAAAAATATGACAAAATTGAAAAAATATGAGAAAATTTTACAAAATCAATATTTTTATCTTTTAAGAGATATTTTTATGGGATTTTTTAGACGTTTTTTCTTTCCTGCAAAGAGGCCATTCTGAATTATTGAAATTCGACAGTTCAGCCGTTCTCGACATATAAGAGATCTTTCAAGCATATCTTCTTTGATAGACATATATATCGCACATATTTTGCTATATATCCGATTTGTACGATGTTAACATCAATGTAAAGATCAGAAGTAACCTTGTCATGGGTTTGTGATATCGCCGGGATTTAAAATATTCGCGGTTTAATGAAAAATTTTGAATTTTTTCAACACAAAAAATATGGTCTATTTTACCCGCTAAATATTGTCCGATGACCACCCAAATTGGTAGGCTTCTTCCCCGCGAAATTCCGATTCGATTGGTCTATAATTGCGACCTGTATAGCTACTGCAAAAAAAGACATTTTTTCAGTATTTGGTCCATTTCAACCCCTAAACATTTGGCGATCAAAGAAATAGGCTTCTATTCTGACCCTAACCCCACCTTCGTGCAAAATTTCGTTAGGATCGGGCCATAATTGCGACCTGTAGAGTGATTACAAATTAACATGGACAGACGGACATACATAGCTAGATCGACTCAGCTCGGCGAGATAGGAAGATCCATATATACTTTCCTATATGGGAAACCAATATTTCGTGGTGTTACATAATTTTTGGGCCAATCAAACTTATAATACCCCCAACACATAGTGTTGTAGGGTATAAAAATTCCTACGCCAAGCAAAATTAATTGAATCCTTCTTGTTCTTGGCTTATCTTAATTATTTTAATATTATTGATAATGTTAATATTAAATAGTGTAATATTTACATTTTTTTTACATTTTCAGGATGACTCTCATGGTTTCTTCAGCAAAAACGGATTAATATTGAATATCTTGGGCTTGGCATATGGCTGCGGTATATTGACCACAATATCCCTCTGTAAGTTCTGACGGATCGATATATATTTCCAATAATAACAAATATAATATCCTTTCCCGCCACAGTTCCCATTTGGCGTAAACGTTTTTCACAGGATACACCAGAGGGTCTATATTCAGGAGCCACACTGTTGATAGCCTACAATTCGGTTTCGATACCATTTTCCTTGATTTCAGCTGTAATAGCCAGCCTGGTTATATATCCGTAAGTAGAAAATCTTCAATATTGTTTCGTGTTTTGTTAAAACGATTCCGCTTGTAGTTTGCTCTTGGATTCCAAATTGCCCAATGGTACCACATTTGCATATTTGCTGGTGGCTTTATGGTCAAGTTATGTATTGGCCGAACAATTGAGCATTGCATTTTTGTTGGTTGTGAAAGTTCCATACAACGCCGCCATTGCTGTTACCTACATTTTGGTCATATCCATTGCCTTGGCCAGTGGTACTGTGCGGTAAGTTATTAAGAGATTTATTTTTCAGAGATTTCTAAAGGTTAATTATTCTATTTCCAAACCAGCTCCTTCAAAGGCCTTCAACCTTGGCTACAGGATAACACTAAGGGCACTCATACCCGTTATGCCTCATCTCTGCTGCACAGTATTACATTCCAGACACGAAATATGAACTGTACCCCAACGGCTTCAGTTATATGTCCAAAGCCAGCGGATTTCTTACACGAACGTTTGGGATTGGCCGATCCAGATGTAGGACCGATTTATATTCCCCTCCACGTTTTTCGAAGAAAAATACAATTTCCCCTTTTATTTGATTTCAGGAAACAATTGATGTTGTGGCTTCGTGTGCTTTTGCCATTGGCTTGGCTGCATTCAACATGCTGCTCTACATGTTCCCAATGCCACGCTGCGTTCGACAAAAGTTTAGACTCTGATGAAATGAAAATTGAAATGCTCTGAAATATTTGCTTCAAAAAGATATTAAAAATATTTAGTTTTAAGTTAATTATTTAAAATAAGATTAATAAAAAATACAAATAAAAACATACAACTTCTGGAAAAAGTAAATTCTTGTAAAACAAGTAAAAAGCTGTAAGTTCGGCCGGGCAAAAATTTGTATACCCTTTACTATTTGGAAGGAATTTGGTACTTTTCAAATAAAAATAAAATTTGTTAAAAAATCTGTTAAAATTCTAAAATTACTGAATGTAACCGTCATATTGGGGTATATACGACGACGTGGACCTGCAACTTTTGTCATAAGCCATTACAATACTCAAATGCGAAAATTGAAAGTACAAAAGTAAGTACAAAGGAAATTCGGCCGGATCGAACTTTGAATACCCTCTACCATTTCCAACGAATTTTGCAATTAAAAAATCTAAAAAGTAGTATCCCTTAGGAACTTCAAATACCAAATTTGAAACAATTCCGGTGAATAATGTCGCTAAAATCATCAAAATACCGAATATCGGGAGATATCTTTACATGGGAGCTATACGAAGACGCGAACCTGCACAGATAATTTCCTGTCATAGGCTGTAGTATCCATTGGGAACTTCAAATACCAAATATGAAACGATTCCGGTGAATAATGCCGCCAACATCGACAAAATACCGAATATCGGGAGGTACCGTTATGTGGGGGGTATACGAAGACGTGGACCTGCACAGAAATTTTTCTGTCATAGGTTGTAGTATCCGCTATGAATTTTAAATACCAACTATGAAACGATTCCGGTGAATAATGTTGCTAAAATCAGCAACATTTTGAATATCGAGAGGTAACGTTATATGGGAGCTATACGGAGACGTGATCCTGCGCAGACAATTTTCATAGGTTCTAGTATTCATTATGAACTTTAAATATCAAATTGGAAACAATTCCAGTGCATAATGTCGCTAAATCGTCAAAATACCGAATATCGGGAGGTACCGCTACATGGGGGCTATACGAAGACGTGGATCTGCACCTACAAATTTCTGTCTTAGGCTGTAGTATCCATTACGAACTTCAAATACTAAATTTGAAACAATAAGTAATGTCGCCGAAATCATCAAAATACAGAATATTGGGAGAAAACGTTATATGGAAACGTGAACCTACATGGCCCATTTACGAACTTAACCTCCATAGTATGGTGGAGGGTATAAAAATATTGTAGTTTTACGCATTTCTTTCCTCAGTTCTAAATTTACGTTTTAACAAGGAAAGACTCAATAAATTTGAATTAAATTGCATTATTATTTTTTCCTCCTGAAAGTATACTTCATAATTTGAAGTATTAGTTTAATGGAATGGATGTAAAAAATCAACAAAACGTGAAGTGTGAACCGCATATGAATTAACGTGTATATGAACGAGTTAAAAAGTATCAATCGGTTTTGCCCTCAACCAGTTTGATAATTTAAATATGTTTTGACTTCCCTTATGATTATTCAAATTATTGACTCTCTGTGGGGTAGGTTCCGAAGGAATGGGCTAATATTGTTCATTTTGTATCTTATTTTTATATGATATAAATATTGCGACTTGCCACGTTTGGACCATATAGACTACTTCATTCACTTTGTATGAGATAAGTGATAATTTTTAGAAAATGTTAAAATGTGCGTAAGGTACCAGGTATAGTCGACCGAAATATTCCATTTTCATGCTTTATTTAATACGTATAAAAATATAGGTTTAGGCAAAATTACAAAAATATCGAACATCAATACCCAATTTTATGCGAAATCATAAATTTCCCGTTTTATGAGCTTCATGGATATTCAAACTGTTTACCTTGTGTGGGACAGGTACCAGAAATAGTGAACGGATATATATCATCTTCACATCAGATTTTGTGTTAGTAGAAATAATGGGATGTGTGAAATATGAAGAAACCCGGATGCTAAATTCGGATTTTATACCCTTTGTGGGGGAGGTACGAGATGGAATGGTCCGATCTCTACCAACTTTATAACAGATCTTGTTATGATAAAAATATTACGATGTGCCAACTCTGAATAGAATCGGATGTTTATTTCGCGCTTTATAAGCTTCATAGATATTCCAAATTTTGAACCTTTGTGGTGGAGGTTCTAGAAGGAGGTTCACCTTCACACCAGACTTTGGGTCAATAAAAATATTTTGATGTGTGTAATTTGAAGACAATTAGACTCTTACATCACATTTTATAACAGTTGTAATTATTTAAAAATTTGACCTTCTGTGGGGGAGGTACTTGATAGAGTGGATCGATATTTTCCATTTCCTCACATGACCTAGCACTGATGCAAGTATTAGGATTTACAAAGTTGGAGCAAAATCAGATTATCCTTTTTCTTTCTGTGCTGTAAAATATTCGTCGTTAGATCAACTCCACATGTCGTGAAATGGATTTGGTCCCAAGAGACTAGGGTCTAAAACCATTATTTCGATGAGGCTCGTTTTGGCCGTATCAAATGATATATGTATTTTAAAATGGTTGCCCGAGGACTTACAGGGTCAGATAAAAAAAATGCAACAATGTCAAACACCATAATTTTTACTTTATTTTTAATTTTATTGAATGAAAGCAAAAAATGTTGAAATTAGCATCAAATTTTAGAATAAGTTTAAATTTGTTCGAATTGGTCACCTTTGGAATTATGACCTTCAAATGGCCAATGAAACCGTCACACGCTGTCCGAATGTTGCTCTGCGGTATTTTGGCCCATTCCCGGCGAAGCGCTTGCTTGAGGTGATCGATACTTTGGTATTTTTTTTAGTGCCAACCTTGGTTTCCAAAATACTCCAGACACGATAGTCCAACGGATTGGTATCCAGAGATTCTGGCGAGGAACCTCATTTTGTCACCACCTTAGGTGGCGCGTGCTGAGTACGATGGTGCTGAGTTCTGTTCTGTTAATACACCCTCCAGAATATTTTCGCGATAATATTCGGCATTTATTCTTATGCCACTGTCGAGTACGAGTGGATAGCGACCATCGGCTGTTATGGCGGTCCACACCATCATCATGGCCGGCGCTTGAGTTCTGGTGGCCAACCGTAGGTGCACATTTTCAGCTGACCTCTTTGGGAAGTAAACACGATCATTTTGTTTGTTTACAAACTGCTGCGCAACGAATGTTTTCTCATTGGAAAAAAACAAATTCTGCAGTCCACCTCCTTCGAACAAGCGGAGAAACTCTTTAGCTCTTTTGAGTCTATTTTCTTTCTGTTGCAGTGTAAGTTCTTGCACTTTTTGGAATTTCAATGGCTCTACCCCGAGCTCATTTTTCAATATTTTCCGAATGGAATATTGCGATATGTTCAGCTCACGAGCCATTTTTCGGCCACTGCAACGAAGGTTTCGATCAAGTAGCTTCTTTACTTTTCGAACCATTTCTGCTGATTTTGCTGTTTTTTTTTTCGTCCTCTTCCTTCATATACCCCACGATATAGCCCCCATATGACGGTACCTTCCAATATTCGGTATTTTGATGATTTTAGCGATATTATTTACCGGAATCGTTTCAAAATTATCGTATGCGGGTCCGTGTCTTCATATAGTCCCCATATAACGGTTTTCACTTAAGTGGTAGTTTTCGGATTTTTTTTTAAATTTTTCAAGTTCCTTCTAAATAGTACTGCTTTTTTACTTGTTTTTTTTTTTAAATTACTGTGAAGCTGTGGATTTAGATTTTTGAAGGTTGTTCTTTCATAGAATTTTAAATATTGACGAGAATTTTTTAAACTAAGTAAATATAGAAAACTGCAAACATTGAACACCAAATGATTTCAAATCACAAAGCCTAACACCATTTCTATTAAAAAAGCTATCAAAGGTAACACCTCAAAAGGAAAAAAAAAATAAAACAGTTTATTTTATTTTTATTAAATTTAATTTTCTTATTTATTATTTACAATACAAGAAATGAACTTACAGGCTAAATCAAATTGTTTAAATGAAAGACAGCGAAAAAAGAAACATAAGAAAATATTTATAAATATTTTGTTTAATGAAATAATAAAATAATTGATTATACAATTCAAAAAAAAGAACAAAATGGAATGATTAACGAACAAAAAATGATAACGTGAAATATAAAGTTGATATACATACATAAGATTCATACACGGATGTGTGTCACATGTACATTTGTGGCAGATGTGTTTATAAAAGAAATATTTATTTATTTTTTTTTTATTATAATTGTCTAACGACTAAAAAACACGGTTGCATGTTTTTGTTTCAATTTAAATAACTAGAAATACATTTTCACAATTTTCGGTTATTTGTTATTGTTTTAATCTTGTTTATGTTTCTGTCATTTAAATATATGGTGTATTATATTTATTGTAAAAAATAGTGGCAAGTTGTTTATCTACGAGTATTTTGTTTGTAAATGGGTTTTTGAGAAATTGTGACAATAAAATTGTGATAAAAAAATGAAGTTTATGAAAAGTATTGGATATTGGATACTATTTGTAGCTACAGTGTTATTGAATTTGCTTTATTTCTTAGTTGAAAAAGGATTGGATTTTACGAGACACTGGTCAAACTTATTTTAATTAAAGGCAATAGACATGTCCATATCGATTCGAAAATTTCCCAAGAAAAAACCGAAATAAAATACTCTGAAGTAATTGAAGCAAACAGAAATGGCTAAAATTTAAGATTTGAGAAACATAGATTCAAAGTTTTAATTGTATTTACCAGACGATTATGCGGAAGTTTGTCATCGTATATATTTCTTAAAAAAATGGATCAAAAATCTATATAACAGCATTGGCTCTATGGTGATTTCAACAAAGAACCGACAGAGAATTTTAATAACATCAGGCCGATCATGGAAATATAAACACTTAATTTGGAACTTTGTAGAATATTTCAATGTGCTGCGAACGGCATGGCATACAAATCCATGGAAGCTATACGAAAACGTGCTCCTATGTAGACAATTCTCTGCTGGACTAAAAAAAGGAAAAAAAAACAAGTAAAAAAACATTAAGTTCGGCCGGGCCAAACTTTTAATACCCTCCACCTTAGGGTAAAAGAAACATTAGAAGAAATGTGGCAAAAACCATTAAAATGCCGATTATGGGGAGGTACCCTTATATGGGGGCTATACCAAAACGTGGACCTATAATTACAATGTTTCGCCACCGGAGCTGGAACCCATTATGACCCACAAATACCATTTTTTAGACAAATCAGTGAAAAAATGTGGCAAAAACCATCAAAATACCGAATATCGGGAGGTACCGTTATATGGGGGCTATATCAAATCATGGACCCATGCATGCAATGTTTCGCCACCGAAGCTGGAACCAATTATGACCAACAAATACCAAATTTCAGACAAATCCGTGAAAAAAATGTGACAAAAATCATCAAATTACCGAATATCGGGAGGTCCCGTTATATGGGGGCTATACCAAAACGTGGACCTATAATTACAATGTTTCGCCACACGAACTAGGACCCATTATGACCCACAAATACCAATTTTTAGGCAAATCAGTGAAAAAATGTGGCAAAAACCATCAAAATACCGAATATCGGGAGGTACCGTTATATGAGGGCTATACCAAATCATGGACCCATACATGCAATGTTTCGCCACTGGAGCTGGAACCCATTATGACCAACAAATACCGATTTTCAGACAAATCCGTAAAAAAATGTTGCAAAAATCATCAAATTACCGAATATCTGGAGGTACCGTTATATGGGTGCTATACCAAATTTTGGACCCATACATGCAATGTTTTGCCACACGCTCAGGGACCTGCTATGACCTACAAATACCAATTTTAAGACAAATCCGTGAAAAAAAAACGTGGCATAAATCATCAAAATACCGAATATCGGGAGGTACCGTTATATGGGGACTATACCAGAACGTGGACCGATATATCTCATTTTCAATACCAACCATCCTAGACACAATGCAAATAGCTCTGCTAAATTTTGGAGCTCTACGTCAAATAATGTGGGCTGTATCGTGATTTCAACAGACAGACAGGCGGACAGACAGACAGACAGACAGACAGACAGACAGACAGACAGACGGACAGACAGACAGACGGACATAGTTAAATCGACTTAGAATTTTATGCTGATTATGAATATATATACTTTATGGGGTCTAAGACGAATATTTAAGGATGTTACAAACGGAATGACAAAGTTAATATACCCTCCTTTCCAAGGTGGAGGGTATAAAAAACAATTATAAAGCAAATTTGCCCATTTTCAAAAAAATGAAACCTTAAATCTTAAAAATACCGAATATAGCCGTTATATTTAGGTCTATACGACGTCATAAGCCATTACCATATTCAAATTCGAAACTTGAAATAAACGGTCAATAATCTAGCTAAAATCATCAAAATACCGTACATAGGGAGGTACCGTTACATCGAAGACCTTGACTTGCAAAGACAATTTTCTGTTACAGTCTGTAGCATCCATTACGAACTTCGAATGTGATATCTCAAACAATTTGGGTGAGTATTGTACCTAAAATCGTCAAAATACCGAATATAGGGAGGTACTGGTATATGGGGCATGTACGAAGTCCTGGACCTGCATAGACAACTTTCTGTCATAGGCTGTAGTATTTTATTACGAACTTCAAATACCAAATTTGAAACAATTCCGGTGAATAATGTCGCTAAAATCATAAAATTGTCGAATATCGAGAGGTACCGTTATATGGGGGCTATACGAAGATGGGGGGCCTCCAAAGTCAATTTTAGGCTGACTTCAAATATAAAATTTGAAACAATTCCGGTGAATAATTCCGGTGATTAATGTCGCTAAAATGATCAAAATATGGGATGTACCCATGGCAGAAGAATAGAGGTAAAAAAATCTTAAATGTTTTTTTTTTTAAATATAAGTAGATTTTTATATGTTTTCTTATACGACGTCATTCGGAGGTTCTTATAATTCGTGTTTTTCACCAATTTTTACAAATTTAAATAATCTTTCATTCAACATTTTCAATTCCAAAATTGGTTTGACAGTTCATTGTCTCAGCAGCTGTGTCGATGCGTCTACCTATATTCTTCTACCATGGATGTACCCTTATAGGGGGGCTATATGAAAACGTGCACCTACATGACCCATTTACGAACTTAACCTGCCTACTGGGAAAATAAACACGTGTGCAAAATTTTAGCCTTCTATTTCAATTCGTTCGAAAGGAAGCGCGATTACAATAGACAGACAGATAGGCGGGCAGACAGACACACAGACGGACATCACTAAATCAACTTAGAATTTTACGCAGATGTTGGGTCTGACATGAGTATTTCGAGGAGTTACCAGCGGAATGACAAAGTATGGTGGAGGGTATACAAAAAAATATGATATATAAAAGTACCTCCTTATATTCGGTATATGTCAAGTTTCGTATTAGAATATCGTAGTGGACTATGACAAAAATTTCTCATATAAGTCCATGTCTTCGAATAGGCCCCAATATAACTTTGGTTCGGCATTTTTATGATTCTACCAGTATTTTTCAATGGACTTTTTTGAAATTTTTAAAATTCCTTCGAAATGGTGAATTATTATTTAAAGATTACTACCTTTTCAATTGTCCTGAATTATTGCTATTAAAATGGGTTAATTAATTTGTATAGCATGCGTCGCACTGTGGTACAGAGTATGTATGTGCCAAAATGTATATTATTATGGATTTTTGTACGCTCAACTGAATTTATCCTGGTCATACCCTTGCAAAAATTGTCTAAAGTAGATTCGAGTTTTGGAATTTCCTCTATATACGAAGGTTGTGGTTATACTAAATGGGCAGCAATTTCTGTTTTTGGTATTGAATCAGTTAACGCTTTTCTCAATTTTTAGGGTAATTTGTAAGGTTCCATATTGTGGGGAATTTAAGTAGACCGAATATCAGACTTTTTGTCTTGTTCCAAGGGAAAAGCTAAGTTAGCCACCATTCGGAAGGTATTTAAAAAATTAAAAAAAATATATCTGTCGAAAAATACCATTCAAATGAAAACCTTTATATGTGGGCTATACGAAGACGTGGTGCTGGATAAGTTATTTGCTGTCATAGACTGCAGTACCGATTCCGAACTTCAAATACCAAATTTGAAACAATTCCGGTGAATAATGTCGCTTAAGTCATCAAAATACCGAATATCCGGAGGTACCATTATATGGGGGCTATACGAAGACGTGGACCTGCACAGACAATTTTCTGTCATAGGCTTTAGTATCCATTAGGAACTTCAAAGACCAAATTTGAAACATTTCCGATGAATAATGTCGCTTAAATCACCAAAATACCGAAAATAGGGAGGAACCATTATATGGGCGGTATACCAAAACGTGGACATATATAGACTATTTTCAATACCAAAAGTCCTGCAGACAGAATATATATTTCAGTGAAATTTTATCAACTTACTTCATTTCGTTCGGAAGCTAGAGTGATTTCCACAAACGGACAGATTGACGGACATCGCTAAATCGACATAGAATTTTATGCTGATCAAGAATATATATAATTTTTGGAGCCAAAAATATAAATTTCGAGGTCTTACAAACGGAATGACTTACTTAATATACCCTCCATACTATGGAAGAGGGTATAAAAATAGACTTTAATTTTGAGATTTTTAGTAACAAATTATTTTAAAGCCTATTAATTTAATAACGGATATGTCAATGGAATTGAGCTTGATTTTTTCTCATACAATTTGGCCAGTGTCAAGTTATTTCAAAAATTGTCTTTTTGTGAATAAAGTTTAGGTTTTGTGGCAATTTTTTTGTGAATGTATGTGTGTGTGTGTGTTTGTAAAAGAGTGTAAATTTTTTCGTTTTTAAAACTTCAGCTAAATTTTTAATTTTTTCGTGTCTTTGTAAATTCTTGTATTTCATATTCCGGATATTCCTGAGGCGATTCACTCAGAGTGTCCGTATCGTAGTAGGCATAATCGTAGCTGGTATCCTCATCGGCATGGGGTGGCCTCTTGGAAGTTTTCTTTTTGTTGTCATTCTTTTTGTGCGATTTCTTGTCGGCATGTTTGCCACCACTTTTGGTGATGTTGAAGGGATAGGGAGTTGTTGTGGTGGTAGTAGTACTGGTACTAGTGGTTGTGGGTCGTCTTGTGGTTGTTGTTGTTGTCGTTGTAGTAATAGTGCTACTGGAGGTTGCCGCATAAGTTGTGGACCTCTGGGTGGTTTGTTGAACGGATGCAGATGAATACGAGGGATATGTAAAATAGCTTGTGCTGCTTGTTGCTGGTGTACTGGCTGTTGTTGTTTTGGGACTAGTCAAGGAATTCAGGGGGTTATAATGGGAATTATATTGCTGCGATGTCTTTTCCGCCTTGATTATATCCGCCCGTAATTTATTGATGCTGGCCGCTCCGAAATTCAACGATTGTGCCGTGTTGAAGAGTTCATCTTCATCACTGAAATCGTTGCTGCGCTGCGCCGATTGTTCCTTTTGGAATGCCGTTTGCTGTTGACTTTTAAGGTGGCTTGCAGGATTTTGATAGGATGCTGGTTGGTAGTAGGGCTTGGATGTTGTAGTTGTGGTTGTTGTACTGCTAGCAGTTGTGGTGCTGCTGGAACGTTGCAAATTGAATTTATTTCTGGGGAAATCAATTTCATACAACTCCGGATGATATTGGCCATCATCTTCGTCAATATTGTAGTAGGGATTGGCTGTAGTATAGGCCGTTGTTGTGGAGGGTAGGGCCTTAGTGGTGGCCTTATTGTTTTGTTGTTGTTGCTGCTGTTTATGTTGGGGTCTTTGTGTCTGTTGAGTCTGATAGAAATTATTTTCATAGGATTTTTTGTAGGTAGTGGGCTTAAATGTCGTCGGGTCATATTTGTCCTTGGGCACCAAGGTGGAGAATTTTTTATAATTCTGGGCCGACACTGTGGGATAGGTTTCACTGTTACGCTGCGTTGTGGCCTTGTAGTTAATACTGCCTCGGCTGACAAATCCACGCGGTTTTTCTGGGAGAGCTACTGCTTTTTCTTTAGGACTTTCTGCGGTTGTTGGTGGTGTGGCTCTGCCATGGCTAGCCCTGGTGGGTGCGGTTCTAAAAGGCTCGGGTTGTCGGGGTTGACCTCTTGAGCGATAATATTGCGGCTCTGCTTCGGATTTCTTGGGTGCCTCAAATGTCTTCGCCGGGGCCTTGGGTTGGAAGGGCTGCGGCGGTTGAGTCTTAATTTTGGCAAATTCACTGAATTCATTGATGCTGGCAAAGCTGTTATTTTGGGCCGGGGACTTTTGCTGACTTTGTTCGAATTTCTGCAACTTTTTGTTAAAGGCCTCATTGTTCACGGCCTTATCGCGATTGACTTCGGTATATTTCGGGGTGGACGATTTCAAACGATTGGGATTATAGGTGGTGGGTTGAATATTCAGTTGAGTCTGATAGTCATTGAAACCAAAACTGAAACGATTTGCCGAACTGTGTTGGGGGGATGTTTTGGGCGTGGTTGCTGCCACGGTACTAGGTGCCGCAGTCGTTGAGGCCGAGGTCGATGATTTGTACAGGGAATAATCATAGAAATCGGTATTGTAATAGGGAGTTACTTTCTTGGTAATCTTGGGCGCCGGCGTAGTTGAGGTCGTGCTTGCCAAGGTGGTGGATGGCGTGGCCGGGGGACGTCTCGATCTAGTTGGTGTTACACGTGACTTGCCAACCACTGTGGTGGCAGACTCCGATTTCTTGGAGAAATCATTAAAGTCATTTGGTTTTTGCTGGCGCACCGGATGATCCACAAAATCATCTTCTCTGCCGCCATTGCGATTCGAAAAGAAATGAGAACTGTGGGAGCCCTTGAAGATGTCATCCAAATCCTCTGGAGAGTTAAAAAATAAAAAAAAATCAAATCAAAAAAATTCAAATCAAAATTTTATCAGGAAAATGTACTCCAAGAAAAAATCTTACGCTTTGAATCATCGCTGGCATAACGCTCTGTAGTCGTTGTTGTTGTGCTCGTTGTCGGTGTATAATAGCTAACAATTGGCTTTTTGGTAACATCCGTTTTGATCTTCTTCTTTGAGGTCTTCTCCACCTCATCGTTGGGCAAATAGTTGTGATTATTGTGGTGATGACTACCTCCACCGCGAGTTGCCGTCTCATATTGTTTCGTATAATTGGGTGGTTGTTCAGGGCGTGACTTTTGATCTACAGTTGTTTGTTTGTAACGTCGTATATCGCCTATGGTGTTAAAGGGAAAGGGGAAGGGAATACAATTACAATTTATTACATCCGCAGTGATTACGCTTGGCGCATCATTCGCATATATGTCTCACCTGTCTCAGCCCGCTGCAAATGGAACGTGGACTCATCCTCTTCGGCCAATGGCGCGCGTTTACTTTCGAAACCTGAACTTAAACGATATAAATCAAAATTATCGCTACCATAGTAGAGTACGGCTTGCTCACAATCAACATCGGCCCAATTGGCACAGATCTGTGCTTCCTGATCAAAAGCTGTACTGTTCGGACACAAGAAACGGAAATCTTGGACCTATGAAGAGAGAGAGAGAGAGAGAGAGGGGGGGGGGGGGGAGACAACAAAAATTAAAATTAAAAAAAATAAAATTTAATAAATTAAAAAAAATAATATTAAAAAATTAAGAATGTCAAAATTATTGGAAATGCATATCAAAGACATTAGTAACGTCAACCCTCTCTAGTTAGGAAAGGTAAGCTATCCATTTATGTGTGGAGATATCGGCAACTGAGATTTTGTTTCGCTCTCCTCGAGACTTTGTTGTTAAAACTATCAAAATAGACAATTTGGAGAGGTACGGTCAAAAGGGGGCTAAACCAAAATGTAGACACATATAAACCAGACAGCTAGTACCCATTACGAATACTAATTCGAATACTAACTTTGAATACCTAGAGGTATGGTTTGTAGACCTTTATTGAAAGTTCTATACAGCGGATTATAAAAGTAGAGTTAAAAAAGAAGACACTTGCATCAGCGTTCTGAAAGTTTAGGTCGAAAAGTAAACAAAATAGATAGGACAAGTTCTCCCCCACAAATGGTCAACACTTTCAAAGAAAATAATTAACATCATAGAAAGAGACACGACATTTGTATCAGAATATTTGTATCTGTTCTAGGTCAGGTGTAAAAATAGACAATATCGATCCACTCAATCAAGAACATTCCCACAAAGGGTCAACCTTTTGAATAATTACAACTCCCATTAAATGTGATGTAAGAGTCCGATTGTCTTCAAATTACATACATCACAATGTTTTTATGAATCTATGGTCTGGTGTGAAGATATTCCATCTTCCACTCTTTCTGGTACCTCCACCACAAATTGTCAATATTTTGAATATCCATTCCATCAACACAAGATCTATTATAAAGATTATTTTATACATCACATTATTTCGACTAACACAAGATCTGTTGTGAACATGGGATATATCGGCGTACTCCTTCTGGTACTTCTCCCACAAAGGGTCAACATTTTCAATATCTATGAAGCTCATGGAACGCAAAATTAACATCCGATTCCATTCAGCCTTGGTACATCTCAATATTTCCATCAACACAAGATCTATTATAAAGATGATGGAGATTGGACCATTTCTTCTGGTATCTCCCGCACATATGGTTCAAGATTTTGAATAACCAAAACGCTCAAAAAAATTGAAATAGGCAACCATCTCTCTTCAGATTTCACACACAAACATTTTTGGTTCCACAAGATCTGTTGTGAAGATGATATATATTATGGAACCCCTTCTGGTATCTCAACCACAAAAGGGTCACAATTTTCAATACTTTTATCTGTCATAACTTCGAAACAAGTCAGCGATTCTTTACAACTTGCTATATCCAAAACTTGCTATATGAAAAAAATTTGTTTATAATGTAGCTAAAATCATAAAGAAGACGTGGACCTGCAGAGACAATTTTCTGTCATACGCTGTAGTATCCCTTACGAACTTCAAATACCAAATTTGAAACGATTCCGGTGCATAATGTCGCTAAAATTGTCAAAATACCGAATATCGGGAGGTACCATTATATGGGCGCTATGAGAAGACGTGGACCTGCACAGACTATTTTCTGTCATAGGCTGTAATATCCATTACGAACTTCAAATACCAAATTTGAAACAATTGCGGGACATAATGTCGCTAAAGCCCTCAAAATACCGAATATCCGGAGGTACCGTTATATGACGGAGACGTGGACCTGCAGAGACAATTTTCTGTCATACGCTGTAGTATCCCTTACGAACTTCAAATACCAAATCTGAAACGGTACATAATGTCGCTAAAATCGTCAAAATACCAAATATCGGGAGGTACCGTTATATGGAGGCTATACGAAGACCTTCACAATTTTCTGTTATAGGCTGTAGTATCCCTTACGAACTTCAAATTCCAAATTTGAAACGATTCCGGTGCATAATGTCGCTAAAATCGTCAAAATACCGAATATCGGGAGGTACCATTATATGGGCGCTACGAGAAGACGTGGACCTGCACAGACTATTTTCTGTCATAGGCTGTAGTATCCATTACGAACTTCAAATACCAAATTTGAAACAATTGCGGGACATAATGTCGCTAAAGCCCTCAAAATACCGAATATCCGGAGGTACCGTTATATGACGGAGACGTGGACCTGCAGAGACAATTTTCTGTCATACGCTGTAGTATCCCTTACGAACTTCAAATACCAAATTTGAAACGGTACATAATGTCGCTAAAATCGTCAAAATACCAAATATCGGGAGGTACCGTTATATGGAGGCTATACGAAGACCTTCACAATTTTCTGTTATAGGCTGTAGTATCCCTTACGAACTTCAAATACCAAATTTAAATCAATTCCGGTGAATAATGTCGCTAAAATCCTCAAAATACCAAATATCGGGAGGTACCGTTATATGACGGAGACGTGGACCTGCACAGACTATTTTCTGTCATAGGCTGTGGTATCCATTACGAACTTCAAATACCAAATTTGAAACAAGTCCGGTACATAATGTCGCTAAAGCCCTCAAAATACCGAATATCCGGAGGTACCGTTATATGACGGAGACGTGGACCTGCAGAAACAATTTTCTGTCATAGGCTGTAGTATCCCCTACTAACTTCAAATGCCAAATTTGAAACAATTCCGGTGAATAATGTCGCTAAAATCATAAAATTATCGAATATCGAGAGTTACCGTTATATGGGGGCTATACGAAGACGGGGGCCTCCACAGTCAATTTTCTGTCATAGGCTGTAGTATCCCCTACGAATTTCAAATACCAAATTTGAAACAATTCCGGTGCATAATGTCGCTTAAATCACAAAAATACTGAAAATAGGAGGTACCATGGGGGCCGTACTTCTTCTGTTCAATATAGGTATGGTTTTGAAATATGAGAAAATCTAAGCCAGACTATCACGAGAATATATAAATCATTTCTTTAGATGACCCAAAGTTACTTAGAGCCAATCTTATCAGTGCGTAGGTATATCTTAAATAATTATCCGCCCATATAATTTTGTTTTTTAACCTATCGAATAATAATCCCAATCAAGCTTGGTTAAAGAAGCTATCAAGAATAAACCAGTAGAATACACACGTAGTATAATTGACGTGGCCCACGAAAATTTAAAAATCGACGACAGCCATACATCAGTTGGTTCGATTTCCCCTTTTTAAGCTGTTTGAAAATGTTCCCACGATTTCTAGCAATGAAAATTCATAATTGTCAATAACAAAAATTATAAAACAATTAAATTCCAAGAAGATCCGCAATGAATATTGCATTGAAATTCCAAAAAGGTTAATTAACTTCAGTAACTTGTATCGCAACGAGTAGCAGACAATACAAAAAAAACATCGAATAGTGGAAAAATCAATCTTCCCATAATTGCCACTCAACAATAAATTAACCTGTTGAAGGTGATGTTGATTTCTTTTATTTTTTTTTTTCATTTTATTCTTTTTTCTTCTTCTTCAACGGCACACAATGTCTTTTGTTGTTGTCGAAGAATTGTTGTATTATTATTTTAAATTATTACTTGTAAATTAAAATTAATTTGATTTAAACAAATGATAATTGCAAACAAACGACAGCAAGAACATGGCTTTACAAAGCATCGTCGATGATGATGGTGATGGAGAAGCGGTGGTAGAAGAAGATGAGGCGAGGTAGCAGAAGAAGGTGGTGGAATACAATGAGGTTCCCTATGAACCGGAACAACCACATAAATTTAATCGAAGTATTATTTTTATTTGCAATTGAACTCTGATATTTGTGTGGCATGACAATATTGCATTTATAAGCTCACATTGATTGTGACTTTGAGACAGGGGGACAGACAGACGGACCGACACAGAACTAACATCCAAGCAAAATTCAATTGGCAATTGGGGATATAATAAAGAAAAAAACAATCCAGCACGGATGCTGTTATTTAGAATCGACAAGGTAAACCATGCCATGCCATACTGGAGATGGAAAAGTCAGCCTCCTCGTAACAGCCTTGCTTGCATGCTCAGTATCATCTACAGAAGTTCCAAAGCATACATTAAACAGCGGCCAAATTGAAATTAAAATAATTGTCAAGTGACTTTAGTACCAGCGAATGTCGATTCTGGCAAACGGCTGTTCGACATGCAAACGAAGATCTTTGTGAGATTGCAGAACCGAATTCTGGTTCTGGGCCTTATTGTTCTTTCATGTTTATTTTTTTTTATTTATTTATTTTCGATTTATTGCTGCAATGGCGAAGCTGGCAAAGTTTCGGGATCGGTTATTGTGGGTAGGGAAAAAGGGTTTGTATTTGACATTTTTGGACATCTAAATTTATATGAAATCGTTTTCTGCAATGACATTTTGTCGGGATAACAACAACCAGAACCATAATAAAAACAATTGAATGCCATTGTGATGATGTTGATACATGAAAGGAACGGTCGGAGAATAAAAGCACACTTCATATGTACATGCATATGCATAAACAAGGATAAGATATTCAGTCCATACTGTCTTTAACATAGAAGTAAATTTATTTTTCGTAAAAACTACGCAGCAAAATTTTGGAAGCGATATTAGCAGAACAACCCATTAAATAGTAAAAAATAAACCTTGTTTGGTTCCTAAAGTATGCTCATGTGTCTAAATACATATTATAAGGTGGTGAGTTCAAAACCAGCATCAGATCAAAGAAAGTTGAAAAGTGGATTCCAATAATTTTATAAACACTTTACCTTTTTCACCCTTCATCATACGATGTATGGAGAGTTTACTAAGTTTGTCATTCCGTTTGTAAATCATTGAAATAATGAGTTTGGATCCTACAAAGTATACAGGGTGAGATAAAACAAACTGCAACGAAGTCAAATGCCATCATTTTTACATTTTTATGTGTTGGGGGTATTATAAGTTTGATTGGGCCAAAAATTATGTAACACCTCGAAATATTGGTTTCCCACATAGGAAAGTATATATGGATATTCCTATCTCGACGAGCTAAGTCCATTTAGCT